TGCCAAAGTCACTGAACTAAGTTGAACCCTGAAGTAGAAAGGTTTGTGTAACCTTTATAATAGGTTCGAGGTGGGGTTTTTTGTTCCCTTTTCATTCATGCTGAAAGAGAAGAAAACCTGAACTTTCCATTATATATCTAGAGGCTCTTGTTAAAAACATTTCTGAGGATAGCTTTATTCACTAAAGGTTTTTATCATATCTTTTGAATTATATCACATACAATGCAAGGAACGAAGCAACATCTGCTATCTATGAATGAGGACCATTTCAATATATACTCAAAAAATATAAATTGTAACAGATTTCAAGCCAGTATGTCATGTTCAGTAAATGGATTGTCAACACTTATTTCAGAATATGAGTACACTGCTATAGAGAAATGCATTTTCTTAGGAGCTCAAAATATCAAAAGCAACACTGAACAAACTAAAAAGCAAGACAATGCTTCTGGGATCATGCCAAGGTACCACTGTGCTTGTTAGGCAATTGCAACAGTCATTAATCATGTTCTTTAACATCAAAAGAAGCTCATGCACTTGAGAAAATATTTTGAATATATTAATCTGCAAAATAAAACATTATTGTGAAGCAGAAAGTTCAGTTGTGAACACATTCGCTCAACTTTTTGTTCTTGCTGTTTTCCAGCCATTAAGATTACAAAATTCAATAGTTCTTTTTTTTTCTTTTTTTTCCTAATAGGTTTAGCATACCAAAGCCCTGAAATCGGTTAAGAACTCGAAAAAACTCACCCACAACCTCATTCTTTCAATCAGATTTTAAAACTTGATATTTTTTTTCTTTGAAGAATGCTGGCAATATGTACTTATATTACACAAATTTGTCCATTTGAGTGTCTATTCAGAGGTTTCAAAACAATTCAGTGCAAATCAAACATGAATCAGCAGTGGACTAGAAGACACAGTGGAAGAAAAAAATAAGTTTAAATTAGGAAAAAGTGCCAAATGACAGAAGAGCACTCAATAAAACTATTTTTGTTCTAAACCCCATCTTTTTAATGGGAACAAATTAAGGAAAATTAAAATCTGTTAATGAGACAAGAAAACATTTCAATAGAAAAGCCTTATCTCCGTGCACCTCTACTTCTCTATCATTGTCACCTAAATTTTCTAGAAGAAATTTTGCTGTTAATAATTTAATCTCAAATTAGCTGAAAGGAAAAGATTTAAATAAAGTCAAAATAGCCAATTGTTAAAAGCTTTGTAATGTAATTTTTTTTACTTTAATTTACTTTAAATTACTGAAAGAATAGATGTAGGTTGGTGAATTGTACATTACTAAAAAAAATGTAACAAAGCTTCAAATAAATGTGCTACTGCAGTATGTGAAAGAATAGTTTTAAATGTGAACACTAACAGGTAGTTAGTAGGTCTGTGGATGTCTTAAAATTGAACTTTGAACCCTCAAGCATAAGGTCACTACTTCTTAGCTGCAATTGGTATGGACTTGTGTAAATTCTGATATAAGTTGCATTTCCTGAATTCTTCATTAAATAAACTGACACAGAATGGAAATTACAGGAGACTGATTATGCATTGTGTCTCTGCATACAAACTATTTACATTAGGAAAATCAGGGCAAGGATAGTGCGGGTACTAGGGGCTGGAAGGATGGGTCCTGGAAGAAGAATGGCTTTCTAGAAAGAAGAAGGGGTCTCTGAAAGAAGACATTTAAAATCCTGGCTGATGGAAAGATTCTGGAAACGAAGAGAGATCCCGAATATCAATGAGATGCTTTCACCCGAATGCAGGGAAACTCCAAAGAACCATTGCCAGAAACACCCAATATGCACTGCATGCAGCAGCATGGCAGAAACCAACATGATTTTTTGCCTGACTGTCCCAGGTCAGCAGTGACCTCCCTACTTGGAAGATAAGCTGAGATCTAGTGAACACAGTGCTGGGTGGGAGGGTGAGAGAGTGGGTGCGAGAGATGAAATCAAGTTGAGTAAAAGCTCTTATCTCATCTGTTCTTAAACAAATTTCAGTATCCAGATGCACTGCAGGTTCTTGTTTACTCTGTCTTGCCTGTTAATAGTTACAGAATAGGCTGAGCTTCACTGCAGATGGCAGGTTTACGAGCTCCTATTTATTTTAGATAGCTGAAACCAGAAGCTAAGCATGCTTTATACCCAAAAAGAAGCAGAAAGAGGACTGATCTGGTGCTTGTTTTCTGGGCAGCTGGGGATGGGTGGAAGGATGGGTGATCTGAGTTGCCAGAAGGCAAAACACGATGAGGTGTGCAAAGTCTTAAAGTTAACAGGACTTTGTGCGTCCTTAAAAATGAGCACAACTTCTGTATTTACCCCATTGACTGATCTCATCTCCTTTTCCAGTGATGCAATTGGTAAGTCTACACTTTGCATCATGCGTATTTGCTCTTATCCATAAGACTGAACAGCAGGACTAGCAAAAACATAGTATTCTACAATAGGCAAAAGATCGTAACTGCTATTTGGAGCACAAAATGGTACCCAGACACTGTCAATGAGACAGAGGTCTCCCCAGTCTCACAATATGGGCAGTACACAAAAGCCTTCTTAGTTTCTGCTTCCACATAACCACTGTAAAAAAAGACTCAGAAGAGCTTAGGAAAATAAAGACCTGCACATTCCAGCTCAGGGAAATCCCTACATGCACAACTGTGCAAGCCAGTATGACCTGGATAGACCAAATCCGGGCACATACTTGAAGGAGATTAGGGCAAAAATAGCACATGGAACAATGGCTAGGCCTGGAAAATAAGATAGGGTCCTGCAGGTGCTTCTTCACTTGTCTCTTAATTAACATCTCTATCACTAGTGATGGTGCCTCCCATTCTTTCTGATTTTCCTTTCTTTCTCATTCTGCTTCTAAGCAACTCCCTAAGTCATCCCTCTCTTCCCATCTTCATTTATTTCTAACTTTGGGTGATCCTTCTCTCCAATACTGCCTCAAGACTTTCTCTCTATGTCAGTACACTAAGCTTGTTTTTCCTTCATTTCTCTTTTGACAAATTATTGGAACACCTGCTGAAGTTTACAGTTTTACCCATTTCTGTCTCAAAACTAAAACCAAAACAAAAAAATGATGAAGAAAGATATTTATTTTATTGTGTCCTTTTTTCTCATTTGTTTTCTTACTAAGTTATACAGCTAGCTCCAGATAAACTTCTTAGGCCTTTCATTTTTGGATTCAAGATAACTGACATGTGCACATGCAGCCTAGAACACTTCACAGAGTTCCATTTAAAGAATATGATTATATTCTTAAAACAAGAGTTAAACCAAATTTTGTATTTTGTTACTATAATGGACGATATTTCAGCAGTGATACTTAGCTTACTCATATTTCTCATGCCTCCTGGCCTTTGGCCTTGTAAAGAAATTATATTCAAATTTCAGTGTTGCAGTAAAATGTAGTAGTGGAAAAGCCCTGTATTTCGCTTGCCCTGACAATCTGTGAGGATGGGATTATAGTGTTAATTCCCATACCCATACAGGATTTTTTCTTTCTCTTTTACATAACTAAGCAAAAGTAATCTTGGTCCCTTGGCAGTATAAATCTTCAAGAAGAGTTCATTCCTAGGAGTTAATTCCTAATTAAAAACAATTCAATTTTGTTGAAGCAAATAAAATTTGTCTATTGATTGTTTTCAGTGTTAAATACAGGAGTACCAAAAAAAGAATGTACTTGAAAGAACACACACAAAGACAAAACACAACTGCATCAGGTGAACCAGCTTCCAGCAGAGAAAACGTTAATTTTATTTTGGTAAAAAATAAGGAAAATGATACCACATTAAAAAAACAACAGTGGACAATGACAAGCCTACTACTCACAGAGATGCTTCTCAGCTCATTACCTTCATTTTATTTCATGCCCACTGTTAAGCAGATATCCCCTCATCTATACCAAAGATGCAGAAAACTGCAACTGCATTAATGTTATACTACATGTGCTATCAAAAGGGCCACATTAACCATGGGTCATCAAGTGTTTTTCATTCAGGCTGGCAATATAAGCAGATGACAGATCTATCTATTTATTTACTGGTACTACATGAAATTGTAAATTAATGCTTTAAAAAAAATCTCAAGGCTGTACTGTTTTGCAGAGGGGTTATAGCATAGGGAATATTTAATTACACATTCAATTAATATTTGATTACACAATCAATGATACTGCTGAAGGCCAAAAACTTGACCTAAAGGAGTATTTCAGAGTAGTTTTAATTGACTTGTATGTCTGCACACAGCTCAGTGCTTGCAGTGGTCATCTCAGTCACGCTGCTCTTGGCAAATTCAGGTCCATGGTGGCCTAAAACCTCATGCCATGATAGCTCTCTATTCTGGAGCACCAAAGACGGCAAAGATGTTTAACAACAACTTTCTATAGACATCTGGGAGTCACTTAAATACAAACCCACTTGGCCACAATTTTTTTTCTCCAGTTGCAATGGCTAAGAAGCAGTGCAAAACAACTATATCTTCCAGCAGCCTAATCTCATGCATGGTTCAAAAGGAAGCTGATTTATTCCTACCAAACCCTTTTCAAAGATAAACTCACTTTTGTATGACAGTCTTTACTAATAGTTCCACAGTTTAAGTGCAACTGCTTGCTCCTCTGAGCATTAACAAGGTCTTTTAAGTTTCCTTTTTTCCGCCATACTTCATTTTCTTGAATATTCAGTTGAAAACACTAAGGAGCCAGGAATGTATTTTTCTTTGTCTTAAGTACAGCCATATGCAGCTTGAGGAGTATTAGAGTAAAAAAGAACAATAATATCTCATACTACAATTGCTGCACTTGAAAAGTACAGCAGTATTTTACTGGAGGCACATTTCAAAACCCACGGCAAAGAAAACATCCTTGAACAAAATAAAGCTGGTTTTATTCAACAATAATCAGTGTTTGAGATTACTTTACTGTTCTTAAGCAAAAATCTTACTTCCTTCTAGAAACAAGCTGTTAAAAATATTGTACAAATTGCCATCACTTACCTCTCCTACCATTTCTGCCTGCATTTGTGGATTTGTCAGGAGGGCAAGGGCAACGTCCTTCGCACTTCACTGAGATTCGTTTTCCTGAGACACACGCTTGATAGTCTAATTTGCACTGTAAGGAGAGAGAATGACTATCATTAACATAAACATCTTTTATAATAAAAATCATAGCTCTTTAAGTATTTTGAAGCAATCTTTCACGAAGTGCTTAGCTCTCTGCAGATACAGATGATAGGAGAATTCCGCAGTATATGCTATCTTTGTATCAAGAATTAGATTAGATAAAGCTACAAAGTTTTTGTTCCCTCAGCTGGCTACAGTTTCCAGCTCAACTCAGGCATGTATGCACTTGCGGTGTTAGACTGATTTGAGTATGCATGTTACATGAAGTAGACTGCATTGTTTTTTATTTGTATTATATGAACAAATAAAACAAGGCAACAAAATTCAATATTAGTAAAAAAAGCAGGTGAATTGTTACAGAATTTATCACTTAATTTCTACCTTTAAAATGACAGCAGCAAAAAGCATAATACACAAGATTTGCCTGATGTAATTCTGCACAGTGACAGATAGCCTTTCCCAATATAAAAAAAGATTTAATTTGTATGGCTCTGATCTGTTTACTTACAGCTCCAATTCAGAAACCATATAATAATTAAATCTAACCATGAAATGGAATTGTTGTTTCAAACATATGAAAATAACAGTTAAAGACCACATACATAGAAAATAACATTTTTGTAAGCATTGCAATTCCTACTGAAAAGCTGAATTTATTCCAAAAGAGAAGTTCTTGATATAAAGAACTTTCTGACGGATGCTTTGCCAATGTAATATTAAAAAAAAAAAACAAACCACAATTCCAAATGGAGTGGGGGAGAGAAAAGAAGTTAAATATCTACAAAGAGCTTTTTCAGAAAAGGACAGGAGGAGATGGTTATGGAGAACACTTCATCCTTGAATAAAAGATGGAAGATGTCTCATTAGTTAGGTAAGCATAGTCAGAAAACCAATGCAAGTAACAAAAATACTAAGTTGAGATTCTATGCATCTCAACACTTCAGAAGACCAATCAGACTTTGTGGACTCATCTTAAGCAATTCCATTATACAATTATCAGTATTTCTGGCAACACCTAAAGTTAAAGTCAGAAAACCTAATGCAAGTAACAAAAATACTGTAAGTTGAGATTAACACTGTCATGCAGCTCTCTACCTAGCACAAGCTGCACCACATCACTGGCAATACCAAAAGGAAGACATTTTAGGAGAGAAAAGAATACCTCAAATTTTGTGTATTTACATAAAATCATTATTATAGTTCAGTTCTGACTGTGCTACCTTTTGCTGAAAAGGCATGGTTAAAGGACAACAAAGCTAAAATAATCTAAAAAAAAAATCACAACAGCAGATCTGCTTCAATTGAAATCTATATGAAGAGCAACAGTACCTCTTAAAGGACCAGAAAATTGAAGCAAACAGCTCTGCATAAGCTGATTATGAAAAAACTGAATACCTTTCGTATCCCTGCACAATTAACCTGGCTGGACAAGGGAGTACTTGCATTAGCTATGATGCCCACCAGACCTCTTCCCAGGCAGTGCATGACAATTCATATTTTAATACCTGAAACAATCTTCAAAGTTAGTAGAATGGCTCACAAATACAAATTTAATAGGTATTTCTGTTAAAAAGAGATATCTTCCCTTTTTAAGATCTGAGAATTTTTACTATTCAATCTTAGTAGCTTAAGGAGTCAAACCTACAAATACCTGTGCTTTAGGCTTTGATTACACCTGTTGGGAGACTGAACTTAATGAAATCACAGCTAAATTGAGGAAGTGTGGACTGGATGATCAGGTAGTGAGGTGGACTGTGAACTGGCTGAAGGAGAGAAGCCAGAGAGTTGTAGTCTATGGGGCGGAGTCTAGTTGGAGGCCTGTAACTAGTGGAGTGCCTCAAGGGTCAGTACTGGGACCGGTATTATTTAATATATTCATCAATGATTTAGATGAGGGAATTGAGTGTACTATCAGCAAGTTTGCTGATGACACTAAGCTGGGAGGAGTGGCTGACACACCAGAAGGCTGTGCTGCCATCCAGCGAGACCTGGACAGGCTGGAGAGTTGGGCAGGGAATAACTTGATGAAATATAACAAGGGAAAGTGTAGAGTCCTGCATCTGGGCAGGAACAACTCCAGGTTGCAGTATAGGTTGGGGAACGACCTGTTAGAGAGCAGTGTAGGGGAGAGGGACCTGGGGGTCCTAGTGGACGACAGGATGACCATGAGCCAACACTGTGCCCTTGTGGCTAAGAAGGCCAATGGCATCCTGGGGTGTATTAGAAGGGGGGTGGTTAGTAGGTCGAGAGAGGTCCTCCTTCCCCTCTACTCTGCCCTGGTGAGACCCCATCTGGAATATTGTGTCCAGTTCTGGGCCCCTCAGTTCAAGAAGGACAGGGAGCTGCTGGAGAGAGTCCAGCGCAGGGCAACTAAGATGATTAAGGGAGTGGAGCATCTCCCTTATGAGGAAAGACTGAGGGAGCTGGGTCTCTACAGTTTGGAGAAGAGGAGACTGAGGGGTGACCTTATAAGTGTCTATAAATATATAAAGGGGGAGTGTCATGAGGATGGAGCCAGGCTCTACTCAGTGGCAAACAATGATAGGACAAGGGGTAATGGGTACAAACTGGAACACAAGAGGTTCCCTTAAACTTGAGAAGAAACTTCTTCTCAGTGAGGGTGACGGAACACTGGAACAGGCTGCCCAGGGAGGTTGTGGAGTCTCCTTCCCTGGAGACATTCAAAACCTGCCTGGACACATTCCTGTGTAACATTATCTAGGTGTTCCTGCTCCGGCAGGGGGATTGGACTAGATGATCTTTCGAGGTCCCTTCCTATCTCTAGCATACTGTGTACTGTGTACACCTGTTGGGAGACTGAACTTAATGAAATCACCACTTTTAAAACATCAAAAATGGACATATAAAACCCATTTCAGGTTTATTTTACTGAAATCAGCATATGAGTGCAAAACAAAGGAATACTTTTTTTTTTTAACATTTCTTTAATCCTTTCCTTGAGACATTATTTTTTACAAAATCCAGTGCTTCTGTTTCACTCCAAATGTTGCTGAAGAAACTAGTAAATACTTCAAAGCTGCTGCAGCTAATGATGAGCTGTAAGCTGAGTCCGTTCGGTTTATTTTTCTTTAAAGTTGTCCACTCTGTAGTATTTGCAAGTAACATTACCCTTTTCCATGCTACGAAAAACATAATGCACGAATCCTACCATAGGCACTGATACTGAAGTTAGTGAGTACAATGTCAGCACATAACACTTCCAAATCAGTACTCCCATTCACAGGTATGCTAACATTTTACACTCACTGAATTCATTTTATGGACAGGCAGGCAGCAGAGACAGATTCCTTGTCTCCAGAAACAAAGCAAAATCCTGATGTTTGTATAAGTCAGGAATGAAACGAGAGGCTGTTTTGAGAATTTTGTATCAGTAGCTAATGACACCAGGAATATAACTCTGGCTCAAACCTCTTTTGCCTATTGTCCAAATAAACAGTACACTGGGATACTGCAAATGAGGCTCAGCTAAATAAAGGTGGGCCAGACTTCCCTCAGCATTACTCTCAAACTGGCAGAAGAGCAAGCAACAACCTAAAAAAGCCCACAGAAAAAGAAAACTGTGGCATACACAATATGAGGACATAATGAGAATAAAGGAGAGTGTTTGGAACAATGATGAAATAATTTGTTTTACCATGGAAATACCTGAAGAGGTTAAAGAGCGGAAAAATATATGAACTATTATGTTATGTATAGGAATAAAATAATTCCAATTTATTTGTCCTTATTAGTGACTTTTCTATATGCAGAAAACATCACGAATTTCGCAAGAAATCCAACTGTTGTATTTCACGATATTCCTTATTTATGCTGGTTTTATAAACTTTTAACTGCTTGTGCTACTTTCATCACAATCCTTCATATGCATGAAAAAATACCATTTTACTTCTGAATGTATCTAGATTTTTTCCTCCTGCTCTTGAATTCCCTTTCCTCTTAGCATACTAGTTTTCCACCTTGGAATTTCACCATGTCTCATTTGTATGTTTGATTCTAAGCGTGCCTCAACTCTTGGAATTTGCACACATTTTGTTTCAAGACAGAAGAGTAAGTATTTCTGACTTCAGAGCAATATGCTGAAAAGTGCTTAAAAAAGGAATAAATCATTTCAGTACAGACAAAGAATAAGTACTGTGTCAGGGTCTCTTGGCAATATATTTCAGCATGAAAAATTCTTCATTTATGTACTGTCAAGCGTCCCACAGAAAAATGCAATTTCTTTACTCATATTCTGCCTGTTTGAAAACCTGTTCAGTCTTAAATGGACTTGACAGTCTTCAACATTTGCCTAAGGTAGTTGTTTAGTGAACTAGAGACAAGCAATTAAAATCTGTGGCAAGAACATATATGTCATTTTTAGACAGGTTTCTTGCAGCTTTACTGTTATTAAAGATGAGAACAGTTACATTTCTGAAACAATAACACTGTATGTTATTTTGATATACATGAGCTCTGCTCTTAGAACTACCTGTTATAGAGTTGGAAAGATTAAATGACAGTGATACATTTTATTAAGCTCTGCCACCTTCCATTCCAAAGTAGCTACCTCTGAAAGGTTTCCAACAGATCTCTGGATATTATACATATAGAGCCTAGTCTTGCTCCCAAATTGAAAAAAAAAACAACACCCACTTAGTCTTCCATGGCATATAATGAAAACAATAAAATACAAGGGGAAAGTACTATTATTTTTGTGTGCATTTGATTGGCATGAATACAAGGTCAGGATACACTTTATTTATTACATGAAGTTCTAAATAATCCCAACTTCCCTTGTATTTGTAATATGGTGTGGTATTTGTAATATTTGGTGTGATATTCACCAAGTTCCACGTGAATATCACACATTTCCATATATACATGGTTACCTTCAGAAAAACCCCAAATGATAGTCCCGTGAACAACTGACTAATTTTTCAAATATGAATGACAGTGTGCATGACATTAATATATGGGGAGGACACTGAA